CCCCCCCTAGATACTCACCCCTCGATGCTACACGCGCTGTCAACATGCCTGCCAAATTCGAAGTTCGAGGGTGCTGGAGGGACACCCTCTACGGGCGACTTCGGACCAGGTGGAATAGGTGAGCCCTTTCGATGGGACGCCACTAGAGATGAGAGGACGGTTGACAGGGCCTCGATGGGGGTTGGTTCAATGGAATTATGGGTATTGTGTTTTCTTTCGCGCGGGGGTGGTCTGTGGATTACGGGGGACGGATTACTCGCCTGCCGACCGGTGGACAGTGTTTGGAGAGCGGGATCGCGCTTGTTTGTTCGAAGGGCGAGATTTGGACTCGAATGTTTGACGCTGAGGGGTGGTGTAAGATTCTGTTGGGTTAACCTTGAATGGAGGGTCGTTGGCTTTTTAATTGGACGAATTTTGGGAACGTTTGAAATGATGTACGGTGTAGGTAAGTGGGAGGAATTGAATTTAAAGATCGTTGTATGTTTTAAGCGATAGTTGATTGAATCGTTAGTGAAGTTATCTCAGTGACAAGATTTACTTTGTTCAGATCGAAAATTGAATACTGAAATTCAAAGTAGATCGTTATATAATTTAAACAATAATTCACCAAATCAACCACCAAATTACCTCAATAATATTTACCTTTCTACCTAGTTCAGATCAAAAATGGAATATTGAAATTCAAAGTAGATCATTCTATAATTTAAACACTAATTCATCAAATCGTCGAGCAAATTACCCCAGTAACATTTACCTTGTTCTACCTACCTAGTTGACTACCAAAAATGATTAAAACTCTAAACTTGAATTCTCTTGTTATATTAAATTAGGTTAAATATTAATAACCTTCTGAATACATTGATTACTAATTATAATTTACTATATAAATGTAAATATTAATGAATTCAATATTGCAGGAATAAGTTTCTACGAGTAACCTTTAATTATTATTAAATATCCTATAACAGAATTTCATTTACAAAAATCTATTTCATGAAGTACTTAAAAAACTAGTTCTATTCTACCTAGTTCAAATCAAAAATCAAATACTCTAATTCAAACCACATCATTCCATACTCCACGCGACAATTAAGTCATCGAGCAACAATCATCGCGACAGAACGGAGCCCAGCTCCCCAGCGCAGGCGACCTCGGCGAGCGAAAAGAGTCAGGTGTCAGGTGGCCTTGGCTTTCCAGCGTTGGGTGGTCGTGTCTCTAGGGGTTGTTGACTAGATGCGTGTGTCCTTTGAACGAGCCACCCCCCGGAGACGAGTCGAGTGGAGTCGAGTGAAGGACGGCTGAGTGAAAAATTGAGGGTCAAAGCGTGCACCGCTGCTCGGCGGCGCGGGGGCGTCGGGGCGGGGTGGAAGGTCGCGCGGCATCCGAACAGAATAATTCGCTGTGAAACGAATTGCCTCGTTTCGAGGGTGGTTTGAAGTCTCGCGATAATTAAGGGGCAGCCGGTGGACGTTTCGTTCATTTAATTAAACATAACTCGCCGCATTCTCCCGTTCTCCGTGGAACGGCCGTTAACGCGTCCTTTGTTTGTCGACGTCGGCGGGAACAATTTTTCATTCTCCGCCCCGAGAATGTTAATTATTGCAACAGCCGCGATAGAAGCCGAGGATCGGGGTGCGCAGGAGGAGGCGGGAATTATTTGTTATTGTATTCGAAAACAATGAGCGCCGAACGAGATTCGTTTCGGGGCACGACTCGTAATTAAGTTACTTTCTATACGGCGGCGAAGTAATTCGAACGAATCGCGGCGTAAAATGTTCAACCCCCTGTGTGTGCCCTGTGTGTGTGTGTGTGTTGTGCGCGCCGGTCCTCGAGCCATTAGCATTGAAAAACGTAAATAACAAGCGAGCGGCGTTTATGATACCGATTTTCCCGTGGCCGAGTACGGGACCGTGGAAATGTATTAATATCTTTATTTCCGTCGCGGGTTGTTAGCCGCATTATCTGGCCATTAGCATCTAGGAATTGTGGCTTGTGAAATTTCCCTTGAAAATCTCGTATCTTTGTTTTTAACCCCGCAACGCTCGGTGTGTTGCGCTCGCGGTGTAAGGGTAGTCGCGTAATTTAATGTTCGACTCGCCGTTGAAATATAGCGTGAGGGGGATGTAAAATTATAGAGATGTTAATGAGGATTTCGTAAATTACTTTATGCGGTGTTGGCTGAGCGCATGGGGTTGCTGTTAAATTCTGTTTAGACTGTTCAAATAAATGCTCTCGGCGGTCATTGTAAATAACTCGCGAACAAACGGCGCGAGGATAATTTTTCATCGGATCTAAAGCAACAGTATTTTTTCAGGGAAATTGAGGGGAGGGAGTCTATGTATACACAATTCCACCCTCCGATTTTACCAACGAATTTTACGCAAATTTTGTTGTAGAAATTCTGTGAACAATTCCGCAGGATTGCTAAAAGTTCCCATTGGAAGCTACTTGCTGGGGGAGTTGGAAATAATTAGCCTTAAATCATAAGCAACCCTCGGTAATTACCAATAGGTCCACCAATTTGCTGGCCGCGTAATATGAAAATAACAATTCGACGGGGATGAACCAGCGGTCGATGGAAGAGTTGAAAAAGGAATCGCCTGCCACTAAATCATGCCACTCATCGCTCGGTAATTGATCCATTCATTTGCCAGAGTAATCAACTCGAAATTGAACGCACGAATATTTGATGGGATTCCATCTATGAAGGGGTAATTAATTGTTTTGCCACGGAAATTTGGGAACGAACGAGTCGGACGTTTCGGGATTCAATGGACGTAACGTTTAAATATAAAAATTGTTATTTACTGGTGATTAAACTTCTCTGTACTATACTCTAAAATATTACTCCTGCATCATAACCAACCCTACCTCGTTAATCACGAATTATCAAATTGAGAAAAGACAAAAAAATTAAAATTCGTTGGGGCCTGAACCACCCCTATCTACAAAAATAAAAAAAATATTATTCCTAAATCATAACCAACCCTAACTCCTTAATCACAAATTACCAAATTAGGAAAACATTAAAAAATTAAAATTCATTGGGGCCTGCACCACTCCTATCTAGAAAAGTAAGGAACAATATTACTCCTGCATCATAACCAACCCCAACTCGTTAATCTCGAATTACCAAATTGAGAAAATATTAAAAAATCAAAATTCGCTGTGGCCTGAACCACCCCTATCTAGAAAATTAAAAAACAATATTACTCCTCATTAAAAACTTGAAATTCGTTGGAGCCTGAACCACCCCTATCTAGAAAAATAAGAAAAAATATTACTCCAGCATCATATCCAACCCCACCTCGTTAATCACGAATTATCGAATTGAGAAAACATTAAAAAATTAAAATTCATTGGAGCCTGAGCCACCCTTATCTAAAACAGTAAAAAAAGGGGTGTTGCTCCTAAATCATACCCATCCCCCGCTCGTTAATTATCAATATCGACGGTCCCCTAATACACCGTCCGCATAATATGAAAATTACAGTTCGCCGAGCTGGGGGTGAAGCGAGCCTCCCGCGGCGGTGGCCGGGAGCAGGGTATTCGCGAATCGTGTTTTAACCGCGGGGCGCAGGTGTGAATAGGAACGCGTTTATTAATTGATTAAAATCGGCCGGCCCAGGCCAGCGTGCTCTGCTCTGCTCGTCGCGCCGAGCCGCGCCGCGTCGGTTTTTCTCGCGGAAATCCGGCTATTGACCGGCACCGCTCAAAGACGTTATTAATTCGACATTCATTCGCGGTCCCGCTTATTACCGAGCCGTTTCAATTAATTAATTCGACCGGGGACAGTTGTAACCCGCGTCGAAATTCGGATGTCCACCCGCAATACGGTCCGATGCGCGCCGTTATTGTCCAGAAATTCGCGGGAGCCCGTGTCCCGGCGCGATATTAAAATGCCACGGTTCGATTCCCCCTTCGAATACGCCGCCACCACCCCGAAAACGTGCGTCGACGAGAACGTCGTTCGATCGCGTCGCT